ATGTTTGCTTCTAATAAGCTTCTAATTTAATTTATCTGTCGACATAATTTACTGCAAATTCTTCTAAAGTTTCTATTACTACAACTTTAGCTAGTAAAAGTGAACTTTTTACAACCCATATCTCAAGCCAGAAACTTGCTGCCTTGTTGGATTCACTACATAACAAAGTTGATATTATATTGACAGAAATAGACTTTTTATATCTAATTAAGACCTATGACATCTATTCCTTTGAAAATATACTTTTTTGTTAATCTCTTTTCACTTATCTGCTCTATAATATGTCTAATATCTATAAAGCCAGAATTCAACTATTATTATTAGAAGTAGTAAATAATGATATGCAAGTTTTAGGATTCTTTTTAAGTCATTTAATAAATAATTTTTATATTTGGATAAGAATCATCAATTTTATAAGCATTAATGTATTTTTCACTAAGCTAAAAAATATATAGCTAGAGTATGAACAAAATTTGAGTAGAAGGATCTCAGGAGAATTAAGTCAAATTGTCAATTAAAAGCAAGCCTTATTTAATATAAATCTAATATCTTATTCTTTACTACTAGCTGTTCCAGCTTCATAATAACAACTAATATTTCTTATATCTGATATACAAAAAATAATTCAAGTTATATTTACAAAAAAGCAAGCCAAATCTAAAGCTAAGATAAAAAAATTAAAGGTTAAACTTCAAGTACAACTTCAAGTTATAACAGTAAGAAAATTTTAACTTCTATCCAAGATTTATCCTATAAAATCAAAAAACTTCAGCAAACATTTTATATAGTAGATCAAGAAGGTAATTATATAGAACTGCTTATTCAAGATTCAAATTATCATAAATATCTTAAGCAAGTAAAAGCATTGTTTAACAAACTTCAGCAACAAAACCAAAATACTAGAATAGATAAAATAGAAATCGAAAGTAGATAAAATCAGTCAAATGACATCTTAATTTAGAAGGATGATGCTTGATAACAAAAAACCTGTAGCTAAATCAAATTTAATATATTGATACTTTTCTCTTCTAATATCTTCCTAATTCCAATATACATTTTCTGATTCAGATAATAATAAGAATAAAGAAGGTAGATATAATAAAGAAGAAAATAGGTGGTATTCTCCATCTTAATCAAAAAAAACAGATACTAATAAATAAAAAATGCATCTAAAACTTAATTAACCTGAAACATATAATAAATTATTGCTAAAGCTTTCATTAGCAATATGTAAAATATGTCAGTCTTATATAGTTTAGAAGAAAGAATCAAAATTAAATAAATAGTTTTTGTTATTGCAATACTTGCATTGTAAAATAAATGATCTATTAATCACTAATTTCTTTTTAAATAATGCAAGTGAATTTAGAGAAGTGAATGATGCAACAATTAACATCTGAGATAAAAAGCTGACAAGCTTTTTGAATTATTAAGATAGTATACAGATATACTAATTAGTATAAAAGACAAAGATAATAAAATTGTTATAGCTATTAGAAATTTTGTTTATATTAATAATAATAAATCTGAACCAATGTTATGTTTAGATATGATATAGATTAGAAAAGTTCAAAGTATTCTTAATCCAAATAAAAATCAATTTCGAATGAAGTTATATACATTATTCCAACTTTTAGTAAGGCTCCAAAAGTTAATAAACCAGAGCAACAAGTTTCAGATATATACAGTATAATAGTGAGAATTTAAAAAAAATATGATTTACTTAAAAAGTAATTTATAAAAACTGAAAAGTGGTTTGATATAGCTTTAAATGCAGATAAAGTTCTTATAAAAAGATGCTCTCAGCTTACTGAGGTAAAAACAGGTTTATAGGAGCCAATCTTTTTTTATCTTTAGTTTTTTAAGATTGGCTTTTTTTCTAGATATATTAAACAAAGTTTATGTATACTATATATTATTGTAGAGCAATAGTTCTTTGAACCTATTTATAAAAGAGATCTTTTTTTTATTACAGAGCAGGCTGTTAGATAATTCTTCAAATTATAGCTTTTTAAATCTATTATATATAAATCTGATAAAACTTACTTTTTTTAGCTAATCTTTTGTGTCAATATTTTTTTAGCTAGAATCTTCTTAATTTGAGACTTATCTAATATGAAATCTTTATTTGAATCAGATGGTGATGAAAAATCATTTTTGATTATCAAAATCTTGTAAGAGATGTTTATTATATTTCCATATCTTATATATATAATAGACATCAATATGAAATTTTTTAGTGAGTCAAGAAGCAAAATCTCTTGCCATTACCTCAGAACCAACTACTACTTCTGTTAAATACAATGTTAAGATTAGAAACAGATCTTATTAAGCTATTGTAGGTAGCAGAGCATCTATTAGTATAATTGTTCACAAAATAATCTAAGAACTAGGACTTAAAATTAAACAAGTTTCAACTAGTTTCATTATTTCTGCTATTAGAACTTTCTCTCAACACCTAGAAATCATCTAAGATCTACCTATTTAGATTGAAGAAGCAATCATCCCTATTACTATCGAAGTAGTTGTTACTACTTCTTATATTTTACTTCTTGAAAATAACTGGTTCAAGAAAGTCAAAGCCAGTTACAACTAGAAGAATAGCTATTACTCCTTTAAGTAGAATAATTGCAAATACTATAATCTCACTACTTATGAGAATGACCAACTACTACCTGCCCAACCTATCCTAATTACTCCAGAAGAGTTAGACCTATATAATTAGGAATATCTAATTTCTAAAAAGGTTTATATATTTGGTATCAACTTCGACTCAGATACAGATAATAACTATGATAATTAGATAGTTTATCGACCTCTTCATTATCATACTCGAACTCTCTTTCAAGTATGTGAAAATTGTAGCTTACCTGCTCACTTCTTTGCTGAATGCTTTATCGACTGCTACAACTGTTATAAAGGAATTGGACATATTGCAGTATATTGCTCTTTACAAGCTCTATGACGAATCTCTTGCTGAATTTGTGGATAAACCATCTATACCAAAGCTGTCCCAATAATAAATGTCAGAAGTGTGATAAATTCAGATATATTGCTGTAGACTGCTTCTATAGTTCTCTATGAAAACAGAACAAGACATATCAGTGTGGCTGTAATTCTAATAAAATAGCTGCTCGGAAAGCCTACTATCATAGTAACAAATATACCTATTATTGTTACTAATGCAAAACTTCAAAAAGATCAGAATGCCTTAAAATTTTCAACAACCAATTAGCAGTATTGTTATGCAGACACGAACATGGATATGGACCAGACTGGACCAAACATTCACGTTCATGTCCAAAGATGGCAATGTCTGGCGAACATTGTCTGTAGATTGACCAATCAAATGTTAGACATTCATTAAATACAGTCAGGCCTGTCTAATACTAAATATAACTCTCCTAAATGCATATTCTATGAAAAACCACTTGGGCCCAATATTATGTTAGTTAAAGAGGTCAATGTATTTTTATTTTACGTTTTATCACTTTTTGCTAACAGCTATTTTCAAAGCCCAGATGCAGACATGTTCTTATATTATTTAAAAATAATATAAAGAATATTTAAAATAAACTATATATTACAGATCTAAGTTATTCTCATTAAATAGTCAGCAAGTATAAAAATTATTTCAATCTAAAGTTGTATGAATGTTGGTGCATATTGTACTGAACATGCTAAATGAAACATTGTGTTGTATATACAATTTTAGGATAACAACTTTAGCAGGCTTAAAACAAAGTAACATTGTTTGCTAATTCTATAATCCCCCAATCACTATATCAAGATCACAGAAAGATTAATTAATAATATCCTAACCATATGTGAATAAATGGAAACTTCATTTCTGTTAATTCTTAACAGATCAGAATATTATTATTACTAATATGCCGATAGTGAATTTCTTTATAAAACTTTTTATCAGAAAATTAATTAAACTGCTTTTAAATATTTCAGATTTTAGACAACCTTATAATGTGGTATAAATATAAGTGATATATAGTATGCAGGCTACACCTCAGATCTAAGATTGTCTAAAAAATGATGAAAATGGATCAGAAGGAAACTATGGAGTCTTACCTTAGATTGTATAGAAGTTTTTATCAAAAGTTTATGCTAGCTGACAAGGTGGTTTAAGCCATAAATACTATCGGATATGTAAGTTGGACAAAGATTTTTTGATGTTTATCAATTTAAATTTGTCTCTAGGATGGTACTACTCTTTTCAAAATGTGTTAGTTATGGCAAAAAAATAGCGAGAATACATAATCAGTGATCCTTCCAGCCTCATTAATATAGCCCAATAAATCATAAATTAATCGTTATCATATATTTATTATTACAGTATTAATATAATTTCTGTGTAGCATATAATTTATCAGGTTGCGTCAATGAAGCCAGAAAGATTGCTAATTACGTATTCTCAACATTTTGTTGCTATGACTAACCCATCTCTCATTTCACACAGCAACAACTCATTTAGGCAAAATCATGTAAGGTTAGGATTAACGTTTGAGTAAATTGTTATTTGACATGATGTCGACTAAACGAGCTGTCGATGAAATGATTGTTTATAAAATGATCATTGATGAAGTAAGGCGAAGCTCTGAATCTTTATGTAATATGTAGATTCTGATCTACAAAAAGTGACTTAATGTTCAGGGTATTAATAATAAAATTTAAAAAGAATTTGTCAAATGATTAAATAATTGCCAACTATCTTATGATACATCCGGATTTTTCGTATACTAGCAAAATTACTAGAGCATAAAGATATTGTGCAATGTAAAAATAATAACAATAAATAAATAAATAAATAAATTAAAAAAACATAAAAAATAAAAACAAAATAAATTAAAAAAAAATACTGTATATTACAAAAAAATGCATTTTTAAAAAATAACAACGAAGTAAGTTAAATTTAAAATAAATAAATAAAACTAAATTAGCATTATACATTATTTTTACCTGGCCTAATTATCATTATAGTAATTGAAAGTAATACATAGCATTAGTAATAGTTAGTCAGATCTTAGTTTTTAGTATATACATATGTTCTGTAAACAAATCAAATATTTGGACATTGGACAATGTCCAGCGGACAACGTCTGCCAAACATCCGGTATCCGGCATGTATCTGTAGACAATGTCTGATGACAATCTGTAAGTTTGGATATATAGGCGGACACAGACATTGGACAGTGTCCAAATATGTTCGTGTCTGGGAAATATGCTCTGTATACATCACTGCCTATAATCACATTATATAAAAACCTCTCTTTATATTATATTTTTATTTAAAATAATTTACTATTAAATTATAAAAAAATACCTCTAT